ATACAAACATTCCTGGGGTGAGGTCCAGGTAGTATGATGGGGCCAGACCAAATCCAGGGATACATATGGTAGCCAAATAAAAAGGAGGGGGCAAAAGGAAAAAAATACATGGGTAGCTGGGGAACAGAGCACTAACCCACTCAAGGGGAGGGTATTGTTTATATTGCCACAGGGAAAGAGGGACCAGACTTCAACCCAGTGCTCCAAGATGTGAATGCAACATACCAGCATGAAACAGGGAACCAATAGAGAGGTCTGAGGGGCTGGCCCAAATCCCAACTACGTGGACAATACCCAGGCCCCCAGAGAAATTTACTTCAGAGGACATCACTGAAGCTACAGCTGAGGGAGAGGGCCATGTCTGGTCAGAGCACACAGGAGCAAATGAAGGGGGTGGAAGAGAGAGTGGAGCACATCCTGGCCCACCAAGCCTTGAGGACAATATTCCCGCTCAGAACAGCCAAGCCACAGAGAAGACCATATGGCCGGCCCCACTATGAGACCTAACATCCCTCACTGTCACATAGCCCTATAGGGGACAACACTGGAGACACAGTGTGGGAATTGCACCTGATCTGACCCGACCTCATCAAGGCAAAACAGTAAGGGTGTGCAACAGAACAGCTAAGGGAGCAGAGCAAGGAAGTCTGAGGGAATACTAAATATAGACTTTGGGGACAGAGCGTGGCACTCCAACAGACCATACAGAAAAGCACTCTTGAAGGTCAACAAACAGGCCTTGAACTATTTATAGGCTTTTCTTTTTGCTGTTGTTTTGTTTTCTTTTGTCGTTTTGTTTTGCTCTCTCTTGTTTTTGTGCATATTATTATCTTTGCAGGTCTATCTGGATAAGATAGGTGGGATAAACAATCTGGAGGAGAAAACAGCGGGCCTGATGGTTCCAGGTGCGGAATGGGAGAGGGGGAGGCGGGGGAAAGGAAATGGGAGTTAACAAACCCAGGGACAAGGGAAAAACAAGTGATCAAAAATTGATGAGGAGGAGGGTGTGGGAGGCCTGGTAGGGCTTGATCAAGGG